CGTAAAACAAACAGTACAAGAAAAGCTATTCTGCCTGCCGATGCAATTGCTCTGTTGAAAGAGCCCAGCATCATTTGCTCTTTGTGAGTTTTTGATGATATCTTAGAAATAAATGTTTTTGCCAATGAATGTACGTGTTTAGCAATAAATGTTTAATTATATATAAGATTTTTTTTTTCAATATAAATAAAAACAACATCTTAATATATTAATATAGTTTTTAATCATAGTTTTATTTGTTTTAATTTATTATGAGGTTTTGGCTAGAAATTAACTATTTTAACCCATTATAGTTTTTTATTATTGTGCATAGTAATAATAAAGGTTCTACCATCTAGTGTTGCTAGATTATTGCAAGAATCTAGAATAGTATACTTTTTATACTATTCTAGATTCAAAAAAAACTTTAAATAATATTTTTGTTTCTAATTTTATTGCCGAATTAAGGGAGGGGGGCTATGGCCCCGGGGCCTTAAATTTTAGGGGCCCCGTAACATTCAAGAAGACCTTCCCCTTACAAATCGTGCTATATAAATTTGGCTAATAAAGTACTGCAGAAAAAAATAGCCCCGGGTCCCGAATGTTCTTAATCCGCCTCTGGCTAGTTTACGGAATTTTTTTTATAGGCTAAAAAATTGGAATTTTTCAAAATTATGCAATAAAAATCCAAGTTTTTATAAAACTAAAATTTTTTTTTGCATAATTTGTTTTTCAATATAATACACCGTTTGTAATAAAAAAAAAAAAAATTAAAATATATTTTAGAGGTTTTGGCTGAAAATTGGCACCTCTGACCCACTGTGCGGTGTCGCGAAATAGATTAACACCCTGAAAAGTTAATTCCCGGTTAAAGCATTTTAATTCCCCGGTTAATCTATTCTGAAATAAATTAACTCCTTTTAATATGTTTTTCAAATAATTTAGCTCTTAATAAGTTTTAACAAATTGTGTAACTTGTTTATTTTAATATACTTTTTTAATATATATCTTAGTCAGCGTTTAATAAAATTATTTTATAACTGTTCATTTTTGACAAGTCGTTATTATTATTATTATTTTATTTATTTAACACCCAATTTACAAGGTAAAAAGAAAAAAATAAGAAAGTTATTTCGGATGACTTTGCTTAAAAACGTTTTCTTCCAGAATTTGCTTGAAAACTCCTCTTTGCTCTTTTGCATTCCAGCACTCTATTGCATACTTCAAGTTTCGTTCAACTTCGGAAGGAATTTTACTTTTAGAAAGTGGTATTTTTACCTTCTTTTTATTTTGAATTAGATTTTGAAAATTTAATATCTGAAGATGGCATAGTTCCTGAATATCACTAACAAACGAATGTTGAAATAACGGGTGTTGCAGTTGTGAAAAGATAATGTCTGCAGTTGTTTTGTTATTAAGAAGTCGAAGGAACAAGTTTAACTTATTTTGTTGAACACTTTTTGAAATTTCCTGGATTTTAAATAACGAATTCATATAGTTTTTACTATGTTTTGAAACATTTAAAAACGATTTTAGCGCACTCCTTCCAATTATACCTAGCTTTTTCATCAGACCAGGATTATTTTCACATAGCTCCATACCATAAGTTAAGGTGGGGACTGCCAATGATTTATATATATAGGAAATAGAACTGGGGTGGGCAAACCGGATTCCAGATTGAATAAGAGTTTGAACAACAGCTCTAAAGTTTGATATTTTTTCATCAACATTTGAATAACCGAGTGAAGCAAAAACTGAATGTTTAGTATCCCATGTGAATCCCAGATGTCTAAGTTTATTCTGAAGATTTTTTTTATTACCAGAAATTGTTATTGTATTAGTTTGTATTTGGGCTTTACCTGAGATCAAGAACTCAGTCTTTTCGGCATTCAGTTTAATACAATTTAGATTACTGTAAATATTGCATGTTTTTATAAGCTTTTTGAGACCAGATAAGGTAGAGCTTAAAAGTATTATATCATCCGCATAGGCTACCACACCAGTAAAGTTACCGTTTATAGATGTGCCAACAATACCCTGATTTTTAATAGTTTCGAGAAGACTTTCAGTGTAAATATTATAGAGGTGAGGCGAAAGAATTGATCCTTGTCTTACTCCTTGGTTTAGAGGAAAAGAGTTTGATTTACAACCTTGATATAAGACTGTTGCGCTACTATTGTTATACAACGAGGAGATAGTGTTAACCATACATAGTGGTAATTTTTTATCGAAATATAATTTTTCAAATAGGATATTCCAGTTACAGCTATCAAAAGCTTTTTCTGCATCTAAAGAACATAGATACACAGGGGAATGGTTGCTGTTGTAATGTTTAATTGTTTCGCTTATTAGAAATTCAGCATGTAGCGTTGAAGAGTTAGCATTGAATCCAAATTGTAGGGAGTGAGTATCTCTAATATCCGGACATATAATTAAGATCAGGTATTCTAGAACCTTTGTAAAAATTGGTATAATACTAATACCACGATAGTTGCTCGGGCTATCTAAAAACATTTTTTTATGATTTAACAAGGGGTACAATAGTTGACGTCGACATTGATATTGGAGTCGATCCATAATTAATAGAGTAATTAAAAAATTTGATGAGCCATTTTGTTAAAGTATCGCACTTTGCGTATTTCAAATGTTCTGCTGAGATACCGAAAGAGTCAGGAGATTTTTTTAATTTTAAATTTGAAATAGCCCCAATTATATTTTCTTCAGTTATTGTTACATCATCATGTTTTGTACACGGGGGAATTCTCTGATTTTCTTTACGATGTGTTATTTTTGGAGTATTCAGTACTCTTTCAAAGTGGTTTGCGAATTCTGAAGTAATAGATTCTTTGTCTTTTTTATTATTTATGGTAAATAATCTAGAATTTATGTCTTTGTTTAAACATCTAAAAGCATTCCAAAAGTTTTTTGGTTTAGTATTTTTTAACTTTTCAATTTTAATATATTGTGCGCAAATTTTATTATTTTGAGCCGACTTGACGGCTTTACGAAAGTTTTTACGAGCGATTTGGTAACGGTTAAATGATACCGAGTTTAACTCTTTAAAAAAACCAGAATCTCTTCATTTTTTAAAATGAATTGAAAGAATAGTTTTAGACCGACTTAATTCAGGTGTCCACCAAGATTTTGAATACAAACATTGCTTTTTATTTTTTAAAGTCTCCTTAAAAGCTATTTGAGCGCTGTCAGTAATTTTTTTATAGATTTGGAGAAGGTCGTATTCATAATCGTTAGCAAAATTAAGATTGTTAAAGCGATTGGTTAAATGAACATTGTAAGAATTTATAAAGTTAGAATCGTTCCAAGCGTAGCTAGGTATATTAGTATCTTCTGCTAGTTCAATGGTATTGCATTCGGTGTACTTAACTTCAACTGATATTGATAGTGGTAGGTGGTCGCTCAAATTATTTGAGCATTTTATTGCAATTATTGTTGAGCAATTATTGTTGTGAAAATAAAAAGGTGATCAAAATAATAAAATATTGCACGAACTTCAGTGAACCTTTCTCTTTTGCTTACAATAATGTCTGAGATTAAAATAATAACTAGCTAACTATAACTAGCTTACTAGTTATAATGATATCAGGCTTCCTGATGATCCTATCTAGATATCAGGCTTCCTGATGATCTTATCATTGGATGTATGTTCTACAGGCTGTTTCTCCAATGATAGAATTATTAGAAAGCCTGATGTATATATTTCATCAGATACCCGATAATCCTATAATAAGATTATCACAATAGGACCTATTAAAGAAGAAACAGTCTGTAGAAAAGCTGCTCTATACTTTAAGATATATATATATATATATATATATATATATATATATATATATATATATATATATAAATATTAAATGTCGTATATATGTATTTATATATATACATATATATATATATATATATATATATATATATATATATATATATATATATATATATATATATATATTTATATAAACATATTTACATATATATATGTATGTATATATATATATATATATATATATATATATATATATATATATATATATATATATATATATATATATATATTTATATATATATATACATATATATATATATATAATATATAAATATATATATATATATACATATATAAATATATATATATATATATTAAATGTTGTATATATGTATTTATATATATACATATATATATATATATATATATATATATATATATATATATATATATATATATATATATATATATATATATTTATATAAACATATTTACATATATATATATATATATATATATATATATATATATATATATATATATATATATACACACATATATATATATATATATATATATATATATATATATTTATATAAATATATATGTATATATATAAATATATATATATATATACAACATTTAATATATAATATATAAATATATATAAATATATATATATATATATATATATATATATATACAACATTTAATATATAATATATGCATATATATATATACAACATTTATATATAATATATAAATAAATAATAAATGCATATAAATACATTCCTACATCAAATATATAAATATTTAAAAACGCTTAAGATGGGGGTTAATTTATTTCATGACACCGGCACAAACACATCTTTTTAGCATCTTAAATGTTAACACCTTTTGATTTCTAAATTCATATAACTACAAAACATCTAATAGTAGTCATCTTTGAGACGACAAATATGATCTCATATTTTTCGTCTCAAAGATGAATACTATTAGATGTCTTGTCGTTATCTTAATTTAGACGTCCCAAAGGTGTTAACATTTAGACGTAAACTAATATCTCCTATACGCATGCTCAAATTCTTACAACAGTACTGTGAATAAGGAAATAAATAGTTTGGAATGTTTCATGTAATTTCTAGTGTTTCCTAATTAAAGACTTTGATATATAATAAATATAATAAATGTAAAAACAAAATTAAATCTTATTGCAATAACTTTTACTGATTTTAAGATTTTGCAGCAAGCCAAAGTTCCATTGGTTAAGCAGGAAAAATGTATTACGGCGTACAACCAGTTAAACTTAAAAGTAACTCCGCAAATGTTTTGCGCTGGATACGAAAATGGTAAAGTTGATGCCTGTGAAGGTGATTCTGGTGGTCCACTGGTTTGCAAAGTTACCGATATCAAACGAAATGAAGAAGTTTGGTATTTATATGGGACAATATCATGGGGCGTTGGTTGCGCAAGAAAAGGCTTCTATGGAGTATTAGCAAACCCAAAAACAATGCGTTCATGGATTGACTCTGTTGCATTTAAAAAAAAATTTTAAATATGTTTTATAAAAAAGTTTAATAATTTATTATGTTGAAATTTATATTTTTTTTAGCCATAGGTTAGGTTAGAGCGGGAGTAGTTAAGCAAAACAACAAAATGAAAGAAAAAAAAAATTAGATAATTTTTCATGCGATACTTCGTTTTTAAAATATTTTTATTTGCCACAATGCTCAACTAGAACCGCTCTATTTTGTAATCAATTAATTAATATAATACCCTAACTTTTAATCCATTACAAATCTAATAGATGAAAGTTTGGGAATTATTATGGTAAAACACATGTTTTAATGCAACAAAAGATTGTTGCACTAAAGTCAATAAGATGCACAAGAATTTTTTTTTATTTTGAACCAAAAATTTCAAAAATTTTTGTTTTTTTTTCTTAAATACATACAAATTATTTTTTATCAGCCTTAAGTGTTAATATTTTACAATCGAACTTTTGATTAAAATTAGGCTTTTTTCCTAAGTATTGTAGTTTTCTTTAAAACCTAACTAATGTGTCACATTGTGTAACTAGTGTGACACCTTGTAGCAACTTTGAAAAAAAAAAAAAAAAAACTGAACCATCGAACACAAAAAAACAAATTTAGTTAAAACAAAAATCAACTCCATCAATTTTGAAAATACTGCTTTAGCTCGTGTAACAGTTTCTTTGTCATAGTTATACTGTATTTCTTAATTTTGTAACCTTTTTAGTATATTTAGATTATTGTTGTGGGCACACTGTCAGAGTCCTATTTATTTTTTGGACCTGCGTGTCCTTTAGAACATGTATTACTACTGCTGTTCTAATAAAATCAATCAATCAACCAATCAATAAAAAAAAAAATTTTCGGTACATTGAGCAGCTTGATACACTTTAAACAATATATTTTCCGACAAATCAAAAAAATGTACCTTTTCTTAACCAATTTTTATTAGGTTAAATTATCATTCCAATAGTAAAAAGTTATGTAAATCCGACGCACCGTTTATAAGATCTGTTAAATTTAATAAATATTGCTTAACTAGGCCGTCAAATAATAATTGCAAATTATTATTTGCATAAGTAACCTATTATTTTATATATTTAAAATACATTTTAACATGTAGGGTAGAGCGGGACATACTGGGACACTTAAGAAACAAAAAATTGCGGATAAACTAATCATAGTTAACCCTGTTTTTTATAAATTTCCTAAAATTCAATGATATAAGAAAATGAAAAAATAAAAAAAATCTCTAAAAATAAGTTACGACAAACAAAGTAACGAAACTCTAGATTAGCAAAACTTTTACATTTTGCAAGTGGGTGGGGCAAACCGGGACAGTTAAAAAGCAACAGTTATTTGTCAATTGTAAAGCTTTAAAAATGATAAAAAATGAAGGCTATCTATCTATCGCCTAAATATGTCCAGACATTAAACTCTCAAAAAAGTAACATAAATCACGCAAAAAATATCCTGAAACAGTTCGCAACATTTTTGACAGCATCACAAAATGGTAGTAATATACTCAATTATAAAAAAAAACTTGTTTTCCCGATATGCCTCACAAAAATTATTTTACTTAAAATAATACTATTCAAAAAGTTCAATTCCAAATATTTTTTTTATAACCAGATTCTAAAAGAGGATAAAAAATACTGTCTGAAAAATATAAACTTTTTATAAATAAAGTAAATTCGCAGTAATCCAAGATAAATCTTTTGTCACTGTATCGCTTAAGAAAATACGAAAATTTTGTTTTTCGCAAACTTACTTATGCATTTCGGTACTTTTAATGCATCTTGGTATTTCTAAAATCAAATTTTTTTTACAATAATAAATTACAATAGTCAAAAATGCTTTACCAAAAAAAATGTTTGAAAAAAATAATTTTTAGCTGAGATAAGACTTTAGGTATAACTGTCCCGTTATGCCCTGCTGCCCTGATATGCCCTGCTCTACCCTAAATTTACAAGTTAAAAATAAATGTGTCTAAAATATTTTAAGTAAAATTACTTAAAATATTTTACACACATTTTTACAAAAGTAATTATTGCTTGTGTAAGTTTTTATCTTTAAAATTGAAGACAACTAGAGAGATATGTTAATTTTTATTTAAAAAAAATCTTTTTATAAATTATAAAAAATCTTTTAAAACTTTCTTATTCAAATGTTTAAAAAAAGTTAATAATTTATTTCGAGAAATAAAATTTGTAAAAAAAATATCTTTATGAAAACTTTTGTAAAAACCTAAAAAAATTTATTACAGAATTATAAAATAAAATTATTATAAATTACAAAATATGCTATTTATAAAAAAAACATATTTAGTAATTAATGACATCCCAATTAGCACAAAATTAGTTTTGAACTATCATATGCGTATAAACGTGTTTAATACGTTTTTAGACGTCTAAAACACGTCTCGAGCCTATAGGAATGAAATAAAAATATAATATAACGACTTATTTCTCCAGCAATCTATAAAATTGATAGCAAAAGCTTGAGAAAAATTATTTTACTAGTTTCATAGCGTACATGGGTAGACAATTACACAATTTAAAAAAATAAAATACTTGGAAACTGCTAATTATATTTGAAAATACATTTGAAGGTATGTAAAACTAAAAGAAAAGTATAGCTTTTGTTATATAAAAGTTTTTAATTTTTGCTAATAATAATTGAACTTAATAGTCATTTGAGAAACACCTCACGTCAGAAAAAGTGAGGTGTTTCTCAAAAAAAAATCAAAAAAATCAAAAAAAAACCCAGCTAATCCATAGTTCAACATCATATATTTTTTAAATTTTTTAATATGTTATATATATATATATATATATATATATATATATATATATATATATATATATATATATATATATATATATATATATATATATATATATATATATATATATATATATATATATATATATATATATATATATATATATATATATATATATATATATATATATATATAGATCTTTACAAATAATCATTTAAAATGTATTTTAAATTAATACAGTATTTGTAAAATCAAGTTATAGGTAAAATATTGGATTATAATAGTACGATTTTGGGTCTTGTTTCCTTAATTTTACTGATAGCATATTTTTAAAAAATTTAGTTCCCTATCAAATACCAACGTTTAAATTTTGACATATTTCAATTTTTTTAAAACAGTTTATCCCCAAATTATAAAATACAATAAAGTCTCATTGTTTCAACTTTTTTTTTTTGGCTATTTTTGAATTTATTCTTAGAGGGTACAATATCGGCAACCTTATCCTAAATGCAATGTATAAGCCTAATTCATTAATGATAAGTTTTATATAGGCATATATACAACCATTAAACTAAAAGTTTTTGAATTGCTTTAACAGGGTTCCCTACTTTTTAAGTGTTTTCCTAAAATTTATAAGAAATTTTGTATTAAATAATAATAAATTATAAAGAGAAAATTGCTTTAAACAAAGATTTTTTTGAAACTCTTTCTGTTATTCTTTACAATCAAAATGTTTCATTACATTTATTTTAAAATAAAATAATAAAATAGTTTATTATTAAATTGAAAGCGTTTAATAAATAAACATTTAATATAAGTATTGTTTTATAATTTATTATTTGAAGTAACGACATCAAAATCTTCCATTCATTCTTTATAAAAACAAAATCGTTTTAAATTAACAGAATGACAAAAATAAATATTTATAAAACAAGCTTTTTAATTGAAGTAACTGTTCTAATTATCTAGAGAACAATAAAAAATTAATGGAAAATAAACTTTAACAGTAACAATTTAAAAAAATTGCTTTCATTGTCACATGAATGGATAGTGACATTTCCATCAAAGTGTATATTTCCATCTTATATCCAATATCAGGGCCGATACCCATCGGCATCGGCCAAAAGTAGGCATCGGCGCACCTCTAATATATATGTTATTATATGCGTATTGTATGTGTTTAGCTTTTCAACAAAAAAATAATTTTCAACTCAATTTTGGTCAAAAATAAAAATAAATTGAATTAGCAATTTAAGAAATGTTTCTCAAAATGACTAATTCAATTGGTATTGTTTTAATGTATATCATTATGTTCAAACAGAAATTGGCACATACTCTCTTTACAGAAGCGTAAAAACTCTATAAAAAGGTTTTCATTTATATTTTTCAACATAAGTTTGAATATAACTTAATACTAAAATTACTCCATTATTGTTTCAAAAGTCAAATTTGGAATTCTGTAGAAAAATTCTGTAGTCTTTATTTTATAGATTTTTTATTTGATCCGACCAGTCAATCAGCCAACAGACTGATTTTTCAAAAAGTTCATTATAAAAACTCTTTAAACTTACAGATATTTTATGACATAAAAAAAGTTTTTTCGTTTTAATTTTTTTTTAGTTTTTTTTTGTTTAAATTTATTTTATGTTGTAATGTAATCCTTAACAACTTCTTAATAAATTTTTATTCTGTGGAGAATGAGCTAACGACTAGTTACACATTAACATTGTGGAGAATGAGCAAGCGACTAGTTGGTTTTATAGCAATTTTAAAACGATTTTCCCACATTATTGTTTCATTTTGTCTATTACGTCTTTAGAAATGCGATTTTTAATTATGGATATAATATATACTCACAATAACAATTGAACTTATAACATCGCGATTATATTACAACATATCGCTATTTAGATACTGCAGCTTTGTTGCTATTAATATTACTACGATATATCGTTAGTTACATATCGATACGATATATCGTTAGTTTCATATCGATACGATATGAAACTAACGATATATCGTATATAACGATATAAAACCCGTATAAGGCTTGTGATTTTTTTTTCTTAGGAAACAGATAATTTTTCTATTGGTATGTTTTTAAGTATTTTTGTAACTTAATTTCTCCGCGTAGCGGCCTTGCTTGTCAAGGTTCGTGTTTCGGAGTTAAAGAGTTGAGAGAGGGTTGTACCACGATTTACAACAACAACAAAAAAAAAAATGAGTAGAAAAAAAAAATGAGTAGCCTCCTCGACTGTAGTGGCCCCCTCGGGCCTTGG